TATACTTCGCACGAAATATTTGAAATTCCCTTAAATAATTTATGTGTTTTGGTTTTTTTCTACTTTTTTTCAACTTGCCTTTTTCTTTTCAATTTTATTTCTATTCGAAGGGCTAATTTATTCCTTTAATATTTTTGTTGTTGTTATATGAGCTATAATTTTTATTATTCACTTCAGTAAAATTGAAATTCAGGGAAATTTCACCCACCCTCCTAACAGAGAATTGATAATTAAAATCAAGTATTCATATTTACACTTGTTGCTGGTAAAATGATTGCCATATTTTAAATATAATTCAGGTTTTTAAAATGACGAAATAACGTTTTATTGACTCATTTAAATCGGATAGAACTTATATTGCCCAAATTGCACCTAAAAACGCTTGATATACACCAACTTTTTGCAGTGCTTAATATTTAGAATTACTGGGTGTGCGCCCTGGGCAACGCATACTCATACGCCAAAAAAGTCTATTAACTGGCAGTTGACTTCTGACTTCAAACTACCATCACCCCACTACATGTCATATTCGACTACTTCCTCAGTACTCACCTCACCTTACCTCCTTACCTTTGTGTCTGTCTCTTTTGCATCTTTGATACACTCTTCCGTCTCCCCCTCCCCTCTCGACTTTTTCACTTTGATGTTCCTTCTCCCCTCTGTGAAGCTTGAAGCCAACTAAAGAGCTAATGGTAACTATCAAAACGCCTGCCATTTGGTATAAATAAATAGATATAAATATTTAGAATTACCGCCCAAATCTAAAACGGCAGAAAGCATTGAAATACACCTGAACTTAGAGGCATTAAACATTATGTAAAGTCACTGATGGTGGGGGGCTATTCCATTTTCCAAAAACTACGAGAGTTGAATAGACTATTCAAATACCATTTTAGCCATCGTAAGTATACAAAATTATTATCCAAAATAATAAACTATAAGCTTTATTCAATTTGGTAATAGCTCACATTAAAGTTCGATAATTTTCATTTATTCTCTCAGTATGATCCAATAAATTACAAGTGAGATCAAACGTGTTAGGCAAAAGGTTACGAGGCTTTCTTCACGTCAACCATTAGAAAAAGGCTCCTCTGTGTGATTTTCAATTTAGATAGCAATATTAAAGTGGTGTTAAGAAAGCAAGTATCATTTTATTTGACCACTTTATAGTTTGACGAATATGAATCACATTCTAAATTACCCTATATGAGCAGTTTTTTAGCATATATATATATATACGTATATATATATTTAGCATATATATATATATATATATATATATATATAGTCTGCACGTCTTTGGCAAGTGATCACAACGGGTGAGACAACAAGGAATCACATTTGTGTCTTCGTCCGGTAACTTCGTAGAGAGTGACATCATGGAGTCCGTGGACACGTGATTACGATGCTCTATCTACCGACTACATGTTTTTTCTATTATTATTCGTATTCCTAGTTCCATTTACTTTCTTAAGGTATTTCCTTTTAGGCAGAAAGCGAGAATTCACCACATTTTAGGTAAAAGCCGATTTTATTACATTCTCTCGTTTTGTCACTTTCTGACTTCAAAATAACAAATTAAAACGTTAGTTTATTCAAGTTGAAGCATGAATTTTACTGTTCTGAGACTTTACTTGTCTAGCTCTAAGTTCATTTTGCCGCTTTATTCTCCAATGTCGACATATCATGGAGGCTTTGAATATGCACCAATGAAATATGTTAAATCATTCAGTGCAATCGTAGCCAACGTCTGATAGTTTCAATCCCTATCTCTCCCAAAAAATTATCACGTTAAATCCTATTAACTCTACTTAGGCGAAATGCGGACTAATTATGTTAACATCATCAACTACTCAGCGAAATTAACTAGTCACTAAATTAAATGTAGGAGACATGAAATCAAGTAGACATTAAGGTGATCTTCCCTGAAATTTGGTCTCCGGATTAGTGAACAACCAAACGATGCTTTAAGAATGAATAAATAGTTGAATTTGCAAATTCTCACGTTTTCTTGAATTAAAGTAATAATCCTAACCTATCAAGGACTGTTTCGAGATATTGCCTAATATTACAGTTTTACTACTAAATTTGTATTCAGTGTTGTCAATACGATATTTTAAAGTGTGAAACGAATGTTGTAAAAAATCAAGCATTACATTTCGGCGACAAGTGGTTTATGAGGGAACAAAACTCCCTCATATAAATGTACATATGGTAGGTTCAAGTAAGTAATCTCTCACGTAATAAGTGGATGCAACTTTTGTCCGAACTTGGGGTGTGCGGTAGACTTACCTCCACGTGGTGCACCCTGGGCAACGTATACTCATACGGCAAAAAAATGTCTATTAACTGGCAGTTGACTTCTGACTTCTAACTACCATCACCCCCACTGTATGTCATAATCCACCATTTCAGCAGATCTCGCCTTACCTGTCTCTTTTACATCTGCAAATCATTATTCTGTCCCTCTCTCGATCTTTTGTATCTTTGATGTTTCTCCCCCTGGGTGAAGCCCGATGTCAACCAAAGGGTTAATGATAACGATCAAAACGCCTGTCATTTGATATAAATAGATAAATAACTTTTGCCCGAACAAGTTGAAGGACGCAACTCCGCAAGCTAATTCTCACATAGCAGACAATCACTTTGATCTTATTGTTGACGGTAGAAATCTCCCACACCAAACCAGACGGATAGCTAAGGCTTAACTTTGATAGTGTTTGTCTTCCAATAGGACTTTAACGCTTTCAAGTAATTGCTGACATTCCGCTGATGCCAATTTTTGTTTAGAAGATTTAAATCTGACAATAACCATTTAAATAATACTCTAAAACTCAAATGATTGGCATATCCAATCCTCAGTTAACCAAGAGAAGCCTATCTCAAGCTCGCGTCGGAGTTGAACATTTCAAATCATATCTAAAGTTTATCGATAAAGTGAATAAGATTGGAATTGGGATGTCACCACGTCAACTTCCCAATACAGCAAAGCTGAGTACGAAAACGAATGCATTTCTTTGTAGTCAAGAAAAGCCATCGATCTTTCATTCAAAATTCAATTTTTACTAGGAGACAAGAAATAGACCGTTTGCAGCGACATTAGTGGATAAAAGAAATAATTTACTTCAAATCTAACCCTCATTCCTTCCCTTTGCAGACCAGGACCAACCCTTCGGAAACTACTTTTTTGCATTTGGTGGGATGTGAGTTTAAAATTCACTACGAAACATGTACAGTCGAAGTGTTTTGTTGACACAAAGTGAGTAGACTAAACCGGAAAGTGTAAGAAAGCCTTTAGGTTCATTTAACCCCAAAAGGATAATTTTTCAACAATAACAATAAGGATCTCCCAAAAAATGGAATTTAAATGGGAGATTTCATCACATCCTCAATTTTTATCAGATTTCGCCCTTGCGATTATCACCTTTGCATGGAGTACATTCTATGAGGAAATCGATTTCGAAATGCGACAGCTTGAACGGTTAATTCAATTTACATAAAGCAAGCTGATTCAAAAATACGTAATGAAAAAGCACAACAGTACTGAGAAGCGGTTTCAAATCATGGAGAAACGTTGCCTTGCTTAAAAACGTGTGATATCCTAATGGAGTCTGCAATATTTGCATTAGTTTGGACCGCATCAGATTTGTGGGAATTTGAATAAACTTGTGAGACTGAAAATCCTTTACTGCTTCACTGCGCTCATCGGTAATGATGCTCCGACCCAGCCACAAGCATGTTCACGTAAATGTACTGCTTTAGTCCTTCATGGTCCCCCCCCCCCCCCCCCCCCACCAATCCAATTGAATAGTGGTCGGCAATAGGGACTCGAGTTCTCTAAACTGGGAAATTGCGCAGACATATCAGAAAGTTCAAGTAGCGAAATGGAAGAACAATTTTGGGATTTCTAGATAAGCGGGCTAACAGGAATATAGCCTATGAGACCAGTAAATTCATATTTAACCAAATTTAGCTACCGGTTTAATAAGATAATGATAAATTTCAAAGCTCTTCATACCTCTAATTAGACTCTACTCTAGCATTTCAACTAAATGTTTGTTAAAAAAGAGAATAGCTAAAATTTGACAGAAAATCAATCACAAAACTGCACATATAAACTGCGAATGCACTTGAATTCAAGGATGAATGGATAAGGATAGACAAGCAATGAGTACTTGGCCAGTACAGTAGATTAACGACTTAGGATAAAGGCTGGTGTATTCCGCAAGAGAAATTTAAGATATCCAAGCACTCTTCCCACTACACATATAGGCCACAATTAACAAGAATTGTAATTTAAATTCGATATAAAATTTAATTCACGAAACTGTACAAATATTAGTGAAGCAAGTGTTTACGAAGGGAGAAGGCTGGCGACTCAATGCTTCGCGTAGTTCACATTAATAGCGTGAGTACGAGTCAACTTGAAGCCATGGTAGGTATTCTTAGCGGCTGTTGCTTGAGCCTCAGAGTCATATTCCACAAAGCCAATGCCTCCCACCGCTCTTCGAGCCTCCTTGAAGCCGCTGAACTGGTTAAAGAGCATCGTCAACATCGCATCAGTAGTCTCCTCAGGTAGATTGCTAACAAAGAGCACACGATTGGGAATTTCATTCTCAACTTCGCCTTCAGCCTATAAACAAATGAGAATAAATAAATGTCAGTCCGCAAGAATGGTGTCGGTGAATATTTCAGCTGTTCAAACGAATCCACATTATAAATTGGTCAGGATTTACTGTTTTGCCGGTCTAAGTTAATGCTTTGGACAGCGTGATGATTGTCGGGATAGCTATCAATCACCGAGATTTCAACGCCAAGTAGGCACCAATGTGACTAATAAAAGTCTAATTCTTCAAACCCCCTAATTGTCAGGTCTTCGCTCTTAACAGCTAGATTCTCTACTTTCTGCCATTACTTATATACGTCAGATGTAACCTTCCTGGGTCGAAGTTTTGACCAAACAGCTATACGATTTAACTCTCTACAACTTCTGCCCATTTTGTTTTACAAACGGCTCCTCCCATACTGCTATTTTTATTATTATTTGGCCTTCAACAAGTCTATTTATTGAAAAAAATATTTTACATTACATTAATCAGTCAGGCGGGTGCAAAAATATATAAGGACGTAAATCGGGGCCAGTGTATGATAGTCAGAACCCCGGAATTCGGGATTTCTATTTAATTACTCTGCACCTCAAATAATTATATAAGACAAACATAGAACTCGAGAAGAACAAAATTTCAGGCAATTAAAAAATATGAAAAACAGTTTTCATTTACTATTTAAAAAAAATCAATTTGTAACATCAACCTACCTACAGTTAGGCAAGATGTAACCGCAAATTTTCTTTAAATTTCATTACAAAAAAATTAATTGTCCAGTGAATTAGAATCAAAATGTACATGCAGAAAACAAAGGTTCACAAATGCAAACTATAGACACTTTAGAGGTAGGCTTCCAAAGAATGCAACAACCTTGACCATCGATAAATAATCAAGACAAAATAAGATCTATATGGTGGAAATAGAAAAAACGCGGAAAGTTGAGTAAAGTGAAAATAAAAGGGTATATTATACTATCAGGAAGTTGAACCAACGCATTGTTTGGCACAAATATTGGTTAAGCAAATATTAGAGTAAATCGATTAATATGCAAACTGCTTAAATGTGTATAAGTAGTAAGACATGTTTGATAAAAATAGACACTTACCCCAGCTGGATTGGCCACTGTGCCAGACGCAGCAGCAGAAGCAGCGATTGCAGCTTGACGTTGTGCCAGCTTCCTTCGGCGTCGCTTCTCGCGCTCCTCTTCTTTCTTCTTCTGAGTCTCTGCATTCACGCCCTGAAGAACCTCAATCTGAGTTGAGTTATTACGAGCGTACTGGATCCGCATGGGCTAAATAAAAATGCCGGTAGATGTGAAGCATAAAATGTTATGATAAGGCTAAATTAAGGAAATATGAAATTAAAGGGAAAAGGATGGCAAACAAGATTTCCTATAACAATTAGAGCATTAGAAGACAACAGGGGGACTTCTAAAGAATAAATCTTACAAGAGTACATCTGGTTACAGAAAAATAAAAAAAAACTGATTAAGATGGCATTTGTTGTCATAATATATTACATTTGCTTAATGCTTTCGCTTCACCCGACAGATATGTTTATGAGAGATAGCAAGATATAAGTAACTGAGGGTGTAATAGAAGATTTAAATCTTGAGATTTATCTTATACGATGAGGGGTGTGAAATAGACCTACCTCCGCGTGGTGCACTCCGGTCAAAGTATACTTACATGGCAAAGTCTTTAAACTGGTAGTTGACTTCTGAATTCATACTATCACGACCCCACTGTATGTCATATTCGACAACTTCCACCGTAATCATCTTACCTTTTCTCTGACTTTGTGTCTGTCCGTCTCTTTTACTTCTGCGAATCACTATCCTATTCCTCCTCTCGACTTTTTGTCACTTTGATGCTTCTCCTCCTCTCTGCGAAGCCCGAAGTCAGCTAAAGGGCTAATGGTAACCATCATAAAGCCTGCATTCTTTATATAAATAAATAAACCTTATACGGGGATTGTATTCAGTGATGCACAAGTGAAAGTTAAATGCCCGATCATTTTGTGGAAGATTCAAATGGAGTTTTATAAACTGCTTGATAATGCGAACTTAGCAAGGACATATGACTAAACAGGGAATATACATTCCGTTATTGAAGAGATAAAGATAAGAGCTTCGTTGGTACGTACTCTATAGATATGGATAGCCAACCGCACTAATTTATAATACGCAATAGATGACTCAGAATAGAGATTGGCTTTGTAATATCTTATCCAAATCAGTTACTAACAATCAATAACAATTTATCGAGAAATGAAATTGAGAAATTTCTAAAATATAACAAATGGTAACTTAGTAGGATACCAATTAAAAAAGTTGGGCTATTTAGCACAGGTGCTGGAAATAGAAGAGGGGATGTACCCACTAATAGAACTTAAACAAAAAACTTAATAAGCAAATGAAATACTGATAAAAGATTGGCAAACCAGAAATTCACATCAGAGCTATCAAACGAAATAAAAGAGAACAAAGGGGATTTTCAATGTAACAGCCAAAAATGTGTTAAATTATTTGGGTTCGGTTGAAATTATTAAAACATCAATAAAAATGACCAAAATTTAGAACGTTAAACACGATGAAAACCATATTTGCGCAGGAAAACGTATCAAAATCTGTTGAGAAACCCAAAGAGCCTAAAAAACAGATACTAGGACTACCTGATTTTAAACGAATACCAATGATATGCAGCAAGATGTACCTGCTCAATTCATTAAATTTTGGCTAAAATTCGCAGTAAACAGATACCAGCACATATGAAATGTCAGTTTCAAATTTAAGATAAATAAAAGTAATGAAGCCGTTATGATAAAGTATAATTAAAAATAATTCATGAGCATGACGATTATTTCAACACAAGCTTTATATTCAACGCAATGCAACTAAATTTGCTAAATAAACTCAAGACACTGATTCCAATAGTAGCTAAATCAGGAATAAACACTCAGTTGCGAATAAATTCTCAAACTTAAGCGGAAACGATAAAGTACTAAATGAAATATACCCTTATTAGCCAAGAACTAACAATAAAGAGAGCTTTGCATCTAGAAATTAATATGGAAGTTACCTTTTCAATTAGATGGAAACCTTGAAGTGCTCTGAGTGCTGTTGTAGCCGAATTAAGGGACTGAAATATAATAAAGGCCTGACCGCGCATTTTTTGAGTTTTCATGGCAATAATTTCCAAAATTCTTCCATAGGGCGAGAAAAGGTAATAAAGCAATCTCTTCAAATCCGCCTTCTTCAATTTGTCGTTTAAATTATTCACATAGAGAGTATGATTTGGTCGGATATCCATAATCTGTCAAAATTAGGGTCAAGATAGCGGAAATAAAAACAGCCAGAATTAAAAAGTGGACAACTTGAAATGGAACAGTTTTATTTATATAAAAAGGGACAACTGTCGATGAAAGCATACTTATTTCTTAGCAAAGGTAATTCGAAGGGGGTGACCAGGTCTAATATTGAATCCTTGAAGACCGTGCTTGGCAGTAGCAGCTTCTGTTTCAGACGAAAACTCAACGAATGCGATATCGTGCCTCGAAGGTACCATTCGAATTTCGCGGTAACCAACAAAAGGCGCGAAAAGCATCGCTAGCATAGCTTCGTTAGCATCCTCCGGGAGGTTTGTGAGGAATAAAATTTTATTTGGAGGCTGATCAGGAATGGTAGCAGGATTGATGGGTGGAGGATGATGAGGTGCCGTTGTTAGCTGGGGTGGAGGAGGTACAGCAGTACCATTCTCAGCAGCGGCTTGGGCAGCAGCTGCGAGGCGTTGTTGCCGACGACGAATAGCACGAGCACTTCCACCACCAACCATAGCGGCGGCTTCAATAGCAGCAGCGTCAGACTGAGCTTGCGTAGGAATCGGAGGGGGTGGTGGTTGACGTTTCGGACGCTCAACGAAAGTTCCTTCTCGCTTCGCAATGACATCTGACGTAGTGCGAGCAAAATCAATACGCATTGGCTTTTCATAAAGTGGAAAGCCTCTCATTGCATCTAAAGCAGCACGAGCTGAGCTGATCTCGGAAAAGACGACGAACGCCTGCCCTCGCATCTTCACGGACTTACCTGATTTAGACAAAATTAGCATGTATGGTAAATAAAGCAATTTCAATTATTACCAATAATAATGTCCAAAATTTGGCCGAATTGCACAAAAACGGCATACAGCGACTTCTTAAGCTCATCAATTTTGATCTTTTCATTTAGGTTATTAATGTAAATGGTATTATTAGGAGGAAGAGTTGGCGTTGGTTGTTGAATAGCTGGTGCAGTAGGTAATCCTGGAGCAGGCGGTGGAATCATTCCTGGAGGTAAAGCCCCGATGCTCATTTTAATCAAACGAGAACACAATGGCAGATCAAGTACTCAAGGCTCCGCACCAATTATTTAGCCTATAACGAAAATTCAAACCATAGTTGCTCTTTTGTCTGATTTTTAACAATTAATTTAAATAAAATACCATTCTTATGATATATTCTGGTAATTGAATTTATTAAATATTTTAATAGCAGACCATTTTTGATAAAATATTTCTAACTTATTTAACCGCTTGGACTAAGTTCAATGCAGTAACAGCTGTTCATGGAACGGTGAATTTTACTAGAAAAATAAGAGTAGGAACAATTTTGTCATTTCGTTGGAATATATTGATATTTTTCACCTGAGAGCATTATTTAATCCATGTGGTAACTTTCGGTCTCATAACCGAAATTCTGTGCCTTTTAATATTCGATTGAATCATGCTCATCAATAACATGACAAACTAAGCGTTTAAAAAACAGCCTATGCTTACTTTCATCCGAAATTTAAAAACAATTCGATAATGAATTTCTTTCATAAATTTATTTTGATTGGTTGACTTTATTGAAACCTTATTAATAATATCTATATCTGTTTGTCCTCTGAAACTTTTCCACCTTTTGTAATATTTTGTCACCTTTGCATATAACATTTTGCCCGACGCCATTTTAAGCAATATAACGGGAGGTTGCATGAAACTAAACGAATAATCGGAACGTATGAAATCATATTACCGAAGATTGGAATGAAAGTGGGGGAAATGATATATTAAGAGAAAATAACACTTTAATTCATATATTTTTTTCTCATACGTCAATCTTAATTTGAATTCAGCGTCTCCGTGAGACTATTAGCCCTTTTGCTGGTATTTGTGAGCAAACACCAAATGTGAATTGGCGTGGGAGACGTTTAATTTCCCAAAGGTAAGTGTTGCTTGGAACTCATTGCCTTTAAAAGTACATTAAGTTTAACCAGTCAGTTGGCACATTTTTTGTACCAACTCATTTAAGAGAAACCAACTTCAGTATTTTTTGTGGAAATGATTTCACTATTGACATTCAAGTCTCATTATGGTAGGGTAACATATATGTCTGCTAAAATACACCAGTATTCAGTGTTTAATCCTCCATGTTGTCTCTCTATATAGCCGAATGTAATGGAATAAAAATTTTCATTATTTGTCAAAAGGAGTCAGATATTTTAATCCTATCACAAAACATTATTTCTAGCATTTTGAAATTAATTTTGACCAGAGCCACCTCACAGTAGAAGATTTAGATTTTAATTATGGGCTTTTTACCTTAGCTCACTGCATGTTCAAGAGCACCTTTTATTTGACTCAGCTTTATTAAGTGCTAGATTAATGCAAGCTCAGCGAGTTTGAGAAATCTTTATGATCATATAAGTGCGAAATCAACGAATACTACAGAGAACTAATAACCTAAATCATTTATATTTTTACTATGCTCCCTTAATGGTCGAGAAACCAACTCTAATTTTCTATTAACGTCAAAACTTTCCTTCGCGTGGCAACAATTTGGTTCAATTAACCAACTATCGGAGTAATGGTAACTAGAAATGGTTTGAAGTTCACGTTGATATTTAGCATCTGCCATTTCCAGCACCAATAAAGTTCCCGAATCCTCCTATAAACTCTCTTAGCGTAGTAAAATACACATTTTGCTATTAACACAGAATGGCTTCAGAAATTACCTAAAGAAAGATAAAGCTAAAACAAGAAGAAACAGAATTTTTCGGCTTTTAAAAGTTTTAATTTATAATATGGCCCTATTTTATTTCAATTTAATCGTATGTGTAATCGATAATATCATAAAATATGATATGAAATGGTAATTTTGAAAAATACAGTTCTATTCAAGCATCTTTACTTGATAAATAATTTTGAATTTAAACAATAACAATGTTTTTGTATATGAATATTTGTTTAACCTGTTCAAATTAATAGGTCTATAACTGACAGTTTTTCGAAGGGAACAAAAATATATGTGAATATACAGGCGTTGTTCAATTACTCACCCATCCATTTATTAGCAAAATGGGGATAGATGAAAGCAAACTTGCTGGGCCGCAAAAATTATTTGATCAATTATTACATCCATGTTCATGTGTTAGCGGCAGTCCTTGGACATTAGTCCAATGTTGTTCAGTTGAGGAATGGAGAAAGAAGTATTGTGGTAGGTTCTCACTTTTAATGTATTTTACTTGCAGCACTTTATAACTTTAACGACAAAACAATGGAGTGTCCTTACAATAAACCGACGGAATGTACCAATTCCTTCTGTCTAAGCAAACAGAATATAGTTAATCTTAGCAAAAGACGTGGAACGTTTTCAATACACAAGCAATCTAAACATTCAAAATTGGCAGAACATTTTGAATACAATCACATACCAGCTCATCTTTCATCTGTGCAAAATTTGCACTTTAAATCCATTCTTTGTAGTCGCAACGGCTTGGCAATTGTTCATCTTGCCCGAAATCTTATTACTCAATTCGGTATTGTCGATCTGCAAATTCACAAATTTCTTGGAACGTTTGGACGCCAATCCGTAAAGTATTCTCCTGATTCTGTTGCTGCTCAGATTTCTCCAGATTCATCTCTATGTCTAGTTCGGCTACCGTGGTCTAGATCAAGCAGGGTAACCACACTTCAAGTATGTTGCAACTTTGTATTCGATTTAAATAAAATAATGCCATAATTATTTGCAATGGATTTGCTCAAGTTAAAATCAATTCTGCTTCATCTTTTTTGTGATCTTGTGATGATTATTACTCCATGTATTTAGTTTAAATTACAATTAAGCAGATTGAGCAATAATTTTGGGTCATCAATATATACAGCATTGGGTGACAGTATTGATAGAAAAACCATCGAATACACTTTTAGTATAAACCGCCAAACAACTATTTGTCTCAAAAATATTATTCTTATGTTGATTTTCTGAAGTCTTTGCTGGTTAGTTCGCCTTATTTTAATTTTAATTTTATAATTTAGCTTCATTATGAGCAAAACAGGTTTACTAAAATCGTTATTTAGTGCAAGATCTTTATAATCTCTTAAGTAATTTTCGTAAATATTCGGTTTTAACGCTTCTTTATGAAAATAACTGATCAAACGTTAGCGCTCATTTTGCATAGATCAAGTCAATCAAAATTCACCTCGACAACAAGGAAAGACTAGCTTTATTTAGGATGGCATTCGTTATTTATCTATGATTTTTCATTTAACCGCTTGCATTTGTTTTTCCACGGCTTAACAAGTCTGTTTTGTCTATTCAACTGTTGTGTTTTTAATCGAATATTTAGCTCCGTTTGTCCTCTATTAATAATGTCAAAATAAAGTTATGGCAAAAACGTTAAATGCATCATTTCAGTAAAGGAATTTGTATCCATTACTTAATTTTGAGTGCATTTGAACTGGAAGTGCGACATTGTATCGCTCGGTAAATATAAAGTTTTCGAATTTGATTGCGAAGATAAACATAATTATGTAATGAATGAATATTCGCTTTCATTTATAAATCGCTCTTTTGCGAAGCTTCTCTAAAACCTACCATTCACTGTTATACGTATAACTGAACCCAATATGTGATTTGGAAAATGTATTGGCTAGCTTTAGTGTTTATTTTAACGTAGAATAAGGATGCTTAATTGGAGAGATTTTTACGATTACTTATATATTGGTAAGTAAGGTTCTTCTTCTTTTTTATTATTTCAAAAAGTTTTGTTTCAGCCGCTAGGCTATTTCATCCCGCAATATATTACTTAGTTATTATTGGCCCAAGCCAAAACTGACGAAAACGAGACATGATATAGCCACTAAAAACATACGTTATTGACTAAATAAATACTCTTTATACGAATTTCCAACTATTCTCCATGTTCCGTAAATCCAGGTTTTCGAAATCTGCCACCCTCTATGCTATCCCTACTTCCAAAAAGTGATTGGCCACTCCGCTCTCTCTAGTCTCAATAAATTAATATGCATTTGGTAGACATCTAACGGTGACGTTTTATTTACTTTTTCAAATAAATCCAGGTTTTAAGGGACAATTATCACTCAAAGTTTTATTCTACTTACAATCACGAAGTTATGCTTAAGCCTGCTAATCACAATGCTAAAGCTATAACTTGACCACTGTTTCACAATCACATGTTCTCGTTGGCCTACTTTAAGTAAAAATAATAATTAAATTATCACTGCAAATGTAAAAAATAATTTCAGTGAGTTGTCAAATATTTAAAAAAAAATTAAGTGATATTTCAATTTTGTATACTTGTTATCCGAGCTATTTGAAACGCAAACTCCTTGTTTTGTGTATGTTGGGCGTGTTTTTCCTGGAATTTATTAACTTGAATGCTTTGCGAAAACGCATATCCGAACTGCATCCATTGGAAAATTATTGAGAATGCATTTTTGTGTGTTCATGTGTCGCAATATTTACTTAGAAAGCGCATTGCATTTTCAATAGTATTTCAACAACATTTTTCTAGAGATACATTAATCGGTAGATAATATTTATGTTTCAATAAATTCATGCCCCAAACTCTGATTAATGTTTTACATCACGATATCTAAGCATATATCTAAAAATCCCATAAAAATGTATATATGGAGGGAGAATTTAGTGAATTTTTAGGTCTAGATTTTAAATTTACAAAATCACATTTTTGATAATGCTTGAAGTAAGTGCAGATACCATTATCATAAGGCCAAATCAAAACTGTCTTTGATGTGATCATTTTTTGATAAAAATGAGCAATCCCTCTTTAACTATTAAAATTTAATTTCCTTTAAGCAAAGAGGAGTCACTGTTGTACCTACGGCTCCTAATCGTGATTTAAAGCATTTAAATGCGGAAAGCAGAAAAAACTTTCTATCACTTGACAGTTTGAGTAGTAAATATAGTCATGACAGCTTCCATCGTTATGAATATCTATTTATAACAAATGGCAGGCATTTTGATGGTTTCATTAGTCCTTTAGGTGACTTCAGGCCTCACAGAAAAGAAGAAATATCAATTTGGAAAAAATTTCGAGAGGGGGGGGAACAGAAGAGTGTGTTAAAGATGTAAAAGAGAGACACAAAGGTAGAAAAAGGTAGGAAGAGTACTGTGGAAGTATTCGAATATGTCATACAGTGGGGTGATGGTAGTTAGAAGCCAGAAGTCAACTGCCGGTTAATAGAATTTTTTTCCGTACTGGTATACGTTGCCCCATCGTTATGAATATTGAATTTGTCAGATTGGCCGAAACATATTTTATTGAGTATTTGTCATTGTTCCGCAATCTGGACTGATTCATATTAGAGCGAATGCTTGCGATCATGTCTGTAATACTCTCATTCTATGGACCAAAATTTATTACAAAGTTTGAAATGCATTCAAATATCCTATGTTATTCTATGAAAGAGGAGTTGATGTTTCTTTTATATCAGGAAAATTTTAATTACACTCTTCCTTAAATTTCAAAATTTTACATTTCATTATTTGATTCCTGCACTTATTATCGTGTTAATGTCCTCAATATATGAGTAGTTGGTTTGATTTTTTGATTAGTATACCTCTTTGTATCATTTACACCCTCTAATAGCCCATGAAGAGGTAGATAAGACCTGTAAGCTTGATTTCAATAAAGCGAAACAATTTATTGGATCGATTATGTCATCTCCATCAATTTCTACTAGCCATAAGAAGCTAGTTCGATGTCTTTAAAACGGAAATTGAAAGGTGATGGCATTTTGGGGAAAAAATCTGTTGTGTATTCTGATTTAATTCCTGCTTTACTGATTCATTAGCCTATTGCCCAATAAATGAAGTTGTAATAGTTCTATCTCTTTAAAAAACAGATAATCTTTTTTCAGTTTACGTGCTATTAAATTGCCCTCTGAAAGATCTCCTTTACATTGGTGCGTCGGTTGACTAATTAACTTAAAATGAGTTTAAATCAACTACTGATTCGTATCCTAACGCACGTTCACCAAATTGGAAGGTAAAGACTTTACAAAAATATAAAACTTGGCGAATTTTTAAATTTTCATTGAGCCTGTAATTTCATTGTTCTTTGAGAGTCTTTTCCGTGATTAAAAAATTTATACCTCCTTAAGAATTGATTATTATCACGAGCTTAGCCGAATGAATCTTAAATTGTATAAAGTTTTAAAACTTCTCCCTGATAATTTTTCTGCTCATATTGATTTTCTGAAAGAAACAAAATCTTGATATTAATTGTTTAAATGAATGACACCTTACCCGATATGAGATGTTCACTATGAGAGTCTAATAGTTATATAATTTTATCTTTTAAAACAAGTATTTTATCGTAAACCAAATGAATAAATTGTTTATTATTACACGAATGCTTTCAGGCTTTATGTTAGTCTCCTAATACTAAACCCGTTATTTTCTGAAGATGCTACATCTTATATCATTTGTATAAGCAAACACGCAACTGCAGATGTGAAGATAAGATTTAACCGATTTTTAGAGAGATTTTTCACCTTCCGTTTGGAAAGAATGTGTCGCTGTTTTTCTTTGAAGATGTTAGTGTTGAGTCAAATGTTAATCTTAGAGAATACCATTGTGCTACAGGACTTTCAAATACCAATGAAAATTGAAACTTGATGATCATTGCAAGGGAGACAGAGTAAAAGCCTTACTTTCTGTTCACTGAAAAATATTCACATATTTGCAATTGTAATTTTCTAAAACCTTTTTGTTTATAATTTTGCTTTCATTCATGCCTGAATATCTTCCTCTTTACACATTATTTAACTTGTCAACGTACTCAAATGCTTTCAACTGAGTGAAATATGTCAACGCTTCTGTTTTGAAACTGGAAAAGTCCTATTGATGCCGCTATATACCAGAGCTTTTCAGGATCATTCTTGCATAGACAGATAATATCGTAAAACATTAACAACTAACAATTCTCGCAACCCTGGTGTTAGAGGTACTATTATTATTATTATTTAATTTTCTCGCCTTCTCTGTCGGAATATTCGCCTCGTTGCTGTGCTAATGTTTAATCAAGTTCACTTATTTCATTTTCTATAACACTTTAATATTGTTCACAGCTAAAAGACCCTTTAACAACGATAAAATCAATACTCTCGGTTATCCCGTGGGAAATAATGATGTTCCTATGACAAAGTTTTGAATTAGCTGAGAAATTATAGAACCAAGTTAACACCGTATTTTGTGAGTGAGGATATTTTTAGGATATGGTATATTCTGATCAAAGTTAAGATGGCAACGTTCCATTTTTTTGAAACCATCTTTAAAAGGAAAAATTTTATATTTATTTTATGGGGGTGTGCGATAGACTTATCTCCACGTGGTGCACCCTGGACAACGTATACTCATACGGCAAAACAGTCTATAAACCGGTAGTTGATTTCTGACTTCAAATTACCATGACCCCTTTGTATGTCAAATTCGACTACTTCCACAGTACTCACCTCACCTTTTTTCTACCTTTGTGTCTGTCTCTTTTACAACTTTGAAACACTCTTCTGCCCCCCCCCCCTTTCTTTTGACTTTTTGTGATTTTGATGTTCCTCCCCTCTATGAAGCCTGTAGTTAACTAAAGGGCTATTGGTAACTATCAATACGCCTGCCATTTGATATAGTAAATATTTATTTTATAAAGGCAATTAATAATGAAATGCTACAAATACAAACTGACGTTATTTTGTTAAGGCCCACTGAAAGCTCTTATTTCATTGATGTTAGTCGAAGTATTTGATTTACATAGATTGGCACCCAATGTGGATGAGGTTAGCTCAATGCTGCTAATTAGAGATATTTTCTTCTAATTTTCGATCTGTGGTCAATACATTCTTTTATTTCATTCAACCACAAAAAGCGTAACAAGTAAAACATACAAAAATAGAAAAACCTAATTAATTAATTAATATTTCACCATACATCTTTTGTTCTTTATTGCTTATAGCATTATTTCAGCGGCACGGTGTAGAAGTAGAATCTAATTAATCAACGTCTAAGCAATGGTCAATATTTTACTTCATTGTACCCCAACTACTTAATTCAATTTAATTATACTTCGGCTTTGTTTCATTACAATCCATTTCCTATTTTGGATTGACATTGGTATAAACTTTATTTGCTATTATTTATTTCGATAATTTTCAAATCTCTTTAAACCTTTTACTGAAACGCGTAAGAAAAAGCGAACCAGTACAAATTTTAAAAAACAAAGTTGCGAATTTATTTTGTTTCTGCGTAGCAACTTGAGGAGTTTAAGAATTTTATTTTGTGGTGGCTATTTTCCGTTTTGATTTTTTGCCTATTTGGAGTTTCATATTCGATTTCGGAGTTTGAACGACACAAAAAACTCCGAATTCAAAGCTCCTAGACTTAATTGGGCTTAGTTATTTATCGCTTTAAATTTTAAAATTCATTCAAAAAAATATTTCACGGTGAAATATGCCTACAATTTTAATGCAAGTACTGTTAGTTCTACAACATTTTTTAAATTTAATTGAACCCTATTCTAATAAATATTTTTTCTTTAATTGAAGTTTGCTTTACCTTCATATAACCTCGTTTATTAGCAAGCGAGTAAGCACAACTGAACAAAAATAATTTTTTGGTATTTTGTTTTATATGCTCTGTTCAATAGCATTTCTATCAAGCCTAAAAATAAATTTATACTAAGTTTATAAATTCTTGAACTGCGAATATTATTCTTAATTTAAGAATCAGAAATTTTTTATTTAACCTTTGGAAATGAGAATAAAGTACAGAATATTCTTGAACTAATCACGGGAAAGAATTTTGTTTTGCTTATGTGAAGAAGAAGGAGAAGCACTTTAACTCAAGCCATTTTTAGAAGGTGGAAATTTTCATAGGCAGGTATTGTAAAATAAAATCAATTAAAATTTCAAATACTTCTAAAATCTCAGTCCAGGAAGAGAATTGTCGTAAAATTCTGACTCACATTTAAGGAATGGCTGCATAATAAACCTCAGTTTAGTGTTTTATCGTCAAAAAATCTACAGAAACGATCAAGGTTCTCGTTAATAATGAAAATCAGTGATTTTTCATGAAATGAATGAACTAATTTAAATATTTTAAATAGGTTATCACAAATTTTGTTAGTAAAGTAATTTCA